TTGAGCGAATCTTTGTGGGTCACTAAAGTTTCACCTTCCAGAATTGCAAAAAAGCCTAGGAGAGTATGGTTTTTCTTTTGACACAACAAATAGCTGCTTACTGGATGCTATCGAAGGGCCGAATAATTTGATGGTTCGTTAAACCAAAAAACAATTGCTAGCATCCTTTGCTTAATTTTTTCATCAGATACCTTTGCTCGGCACATCGCTGAAAGCTGTTGAACCGCCAGAAGATTCGCCCGTACGAAAAGATGACGTTCTTCGCGAACTTGCAAAAAGTCTAAATGCTCAGTTTATGGACATGAGAATGGCAATGTTGGGTCTCACAGATGAGAAGGATAGAAACATCCTAGCAAAGGTATCTAAAGAAAATGGCTGATTTTCCACGATGAACGTCTTTTATAGTTTCAATCGCTTAGCCGGTGGTATAAAACCTATCTTCGATGTCCAAAATGTGGATCTCCATTGCATATGCGGGTTAGCAAAGCAGGTGCCAATTGTCTTATGTGTCCACGAGTCTATTATCCTACGGTGAGAAGCATAAAATCATCGAAATGCTTGCCAGTGTTATCCTATTTTAGTGTTCTCCAGTGGCAATAACGCTTGTAGCCGATCCCACGGATAGTTATGCCCTTTTAGTTCGCCACAAAGGCTCAGCTCCCGGAGTTTACACAGCTGTGGCAGGATTTGCACAGGTAGCACAGAAATTGTTTCCATTTTTATCTAATCGAGTATATTTCCAGCCCGGGGAGTCCCTGGACGAGTGCGTTAGGAGGGAGATAGCCGAGGAGATTGGTGTTCCCGTCTCAAAAGTAGTCTCACTCCAACGCAGTCAGCCTTGGCCAATGCCTGGTTCATCGCTAATGTGTGCTCATTATGCCGTGACTGAGATGTCTTATAAGGTAAGAGATAAGTTTTTTGGCTTTATCACTAATATATTATTTATCTCCCATTTGATTTTCTCACTTTCTAGATATCATATACCAGCGACGGTCCTGAGTATCCG